CCCCCCCCCCCCCCCCACACTCCCTCTTTCAAAAAAATTACTGGTAAGTTGTAACCTTCAAAGGGACGGCCCTTTTGAGGTTACAAATAAAGCAATAATTACGCAAACACAAAGTCTTCTTACTAGATTAGGCTAGAACGGCCGGTCTATTCTTTGAGTCACGTTATCTTTCTGTTTTGTCCTGCAGAGACAGACACTGATCGCTGAGGTCCCCCCGGTCTCGAGGCGGCGCTTCTGTCTGCCATGTTTCTTCTCATGTTGGCTTCGTCAGCTCCTAGTCTAAAAACACGAAATGGCAGAGTCAGCATACTTGATTAACTTAAAATGTAAAAAAAAAGTCTTCTCGGAATAACTACGAAAATGAAGAAATACAAAGGGTTAAAATTTTCCATTCTTCCCAGAAAGGTTTTTGTGTTCCCGTCCACTCGATTTCCGAACTTTTGTCTTTCACCACCTCCCATCTCCTCATCTCCAATACAACCGACACTCGTAAGCCCCATCCCCTAAACGTAAATATTCCAATAGCTATATATAGCTATTCTCTAAAGCTACATTCCCATAAACCTTTCCCGCGTCCCTCATACTCTATCCCATGCCCTCCCATACACGTATTCCGTAAGCCCTAATAACTCGCCATATGCCGAAGCCCTACAAACTTATCCGATGCACCCCCACCCCTCTCCATGCTCCTTTTCTCCAATCCCTTACCAACTACACCCCCTTACGCTTATCCCCTGCACCCCATACTACAATCCCCTATCCCTAAGCCCTCGTAATCTAAGTCTCTGCCTCACCTGACGGACGCGCTCTTTATTTTGGGTTCTTTTCGAATGATTTTCTTGCTCAGGTACAACACCCACTGCTTCTGTTCATCAGCTGTTTGTGCGAGCACCAAGAGTTCCTTGGCTGAGATCATTTCCATATTTACTGAAACAGGACAAAACGTTTACATAATGCAGAGAAACATTTCTGCAACTGTCTTTAAACTAATCGCTGCTTTGGCTTTGCGTTTAGAGCGGCTTTCAACTCAGTATCGTAAAACCAAAACCAAACCCATTAGACTACTCAGCAAATCTAAAAACCGTAGTAAAACCAAATCCAAAGTAATTGCCTGATTGCTTTCGACACTCATTAAAAAACCGCTCTACTAACCTCTAACTGGCCAGAAAAACTCCTGAACTATTCTCTAACCAATCAAAGAAAAGATTCTTTTCTTTCCAACCAATCAGGAGCAATGCCAAACCAAAACATGCCTCGGCTTACGCGCGCTTTCCTGCCCTTTCCCGAACTTTCCCGTGCTTGGCGCAGGTTACCGCGTTGATAGAGTTCGCTGTAATTGTTCGGATGAGATAACTTTGGATTTGCTTTTACGACCGACAGTCACTTAAAAAACCGCGCTTCAAAGAACGTACATGGAAGCACAGAAGACGATACCAGCAAGGAAAAAAAAAAAAAGAAAGAAAAACAAGTCATAACAAACTCAAAATCAACTTTCCCCTCGAGCACTTTTCCACAATCTCACTAATTAAATTTGTTTCGGACAAGATATAGCATCTGTGGTAAAATCACACTTCAGGTTCACAATCCAATGATTTTTTTTTTCTTGGATGACAATTAACGGAAGTCTTGTTTGATCACTTACCGTTACACATGGTGATACAAGCTTCTTCTCTATCCACATGGTCCTTATGACACTTCATATGACAACCTGACAACATTACGTAGACGTTAATGAAAGAAAAGAAATCAAAGCGATTCACTGACGCGGCATCTCATGAACTCAGTACCTTATTATTCCCTCTATGAATGCGCCTGCAGGGAATCATGGTAGTTGTATTCATCATCTTGGATTGGATATTTGTTTTCACGAATACAACTACCCATGATTCCCTGCAAGCTCGTCTCATGGAGGGAACTGGCCAGTAGACCTTTTCACTCTTAAAGGTATCATATTCAAAACTTGAAAACTATAGCGACTACAATTTAATTTGCGAAACACCACAAAGCAAACAGATCACATGAAAGTACTGCTTCAAATCTTTCATATGAGTGGTCACAAACTAGGGTTTTATCCACAGACTAAAAAGTTAGAACCACCTTGTTCAGCATAATAAACAGTACAACACGAAAGTACTGCTCAATAGCTTTCATATGCATATGAATGATCACACACCAGGGTTTTATTCACAGACTAAAAAGTTAGAACCACCTTGTACAGTCAGCATAAATTAATAAACAGTACCACAAGAAAGTACTGCTCATCAGCTTTCATCTGAATGACTCCAGACATCAAGATAAGACTCAAGTCTTCCTTCTCATCTCATAATTCCTTGACAATGTATGGATACCGTATAGAGAAATCAAATGTGGATCAGTCGATTAACTTACGTTTGCACTCTACTGCTGGAGGAGGTTTGAACATGTGCCACAGGGGTTTGTTACACGAGTCACAGTTGGTTGGCATGTGGTAATGCATTGGAATAAACTGATGCCTCATGTAGTCGATCGCGTTCATTCGTTCCTGAAACAATCAAGCAAAAGATAAATAACGCGGTAAGGTACACGTAAAAATTCAAACTTGGTCTTCAGTTGAGGGCATTACACTAACTGACGACCTTAGAGGTCCACCAGTAATTCGGCTTGAACAGTTTTAACTGCACAGTTCCCCCAAATTGGGGATTGCAGAGTTACAGATACGTTATCAAGGTAGGGTGTCACCAAGGAATGCCAACAGGTCAATTCCCACTGGTCCCACCAAATCATTAGAAATTGTCATTTAACTTGTCGGGTCAGGTAGATGAGGCGCCCTACTTATCTGGAACACTGGATTGGACAGAAAAGTCATAATTGGTTTGCGCTGACTTGCCAAAAGCACTGCTCAACATGTTTCATTTGAATGGGTCCCTGTAAGGGTTTCTCATCCACATCGCCTTGACAATACAGAGTATATTCACATGACGTCAGGGCGGCCATATTGGTGTCCCGAAACAATGAAACGGAGCCATGCCAGTGTCCCATAGCAATCCTGTGGGAGTTGAACCCTTTTCTTGTACAAACACTTTCTCTTGCTCTAATAAATACGCATGGCTGCTGGCCACGTGAGTCGAAAGCTCTCTATAATAAACAGTAGCCAACGAAAGCTTTCCCTTGAATAGTCACAGTGGCACACCAAATATTTTTTTCAATTATCCAGACTAATAAGTTATGGGAACTCCATTTACGGGTGTCAAGTAGACTATGGTCGATACCTCTGGTTGTTGCTCCTCTTTGTCTTTTTCCACTGGATTGATGCTCTCCGCCTCGTTGGCATATAAAATCTGCAAATTAAACAACATGTCAAGTTCAGTTCAACTGCTTTCCTCCCTGCCTAATGGGATAGCGTTGTACCCTAGGTGAGCCTAAAAAGATCTCTCGAGAACTACAACAACACTCTCAAGGGCGAAAGCATTAGGGGAAAACATCACTGTAAACGACAAAATTACCATTACCAACAATGTCTTACGATAAGCCTCGTAAGGCCCCGTAAAGCCCTTAATCTCCCCACCCTCGATGGCAGAAACTTCTTCGAGTTCAATGCGCCTTAGTAGAAACGAGGGGTCTGGGGAGACTCTCATCCCACAGTCGCGTGTGTGACCGTTACTGGGACCAAACAATTGTCTCCAGCAACGGTCACACACGCGACAACGAGATAAGACTCGCCCAAGATTTCGTCTTGTTTCCAAATAGACTAATACATGACTGGTAACGCAATACGCACCTGAAATATCCTAGGAATATCTTTTGCATCGGCACGTATGACATCGCCTTGCGTTACAGATCTCACGTGGTACAACTTACTGGAAAGGAAAGTTAAAACAAGTCAAATACAAAACAACAAGTTCTCACATTTCAAAACGCTGTATCGTTTTCGGAACTACACTAACAGAGAGAATTTGCGAAAAACAAAACGTCACGCGTTTTCTGGAGAGGAAGTTGTTGTACTTGCCTAATTTCTAGAATGATGGAAGGAGTTGAGCTGCTTCGGTGATCAGCATCCGAGTTATAGAAGAAAATCTTCCGGTTACTAACGACTAAATACTGTAATGGAGAAACAACAAAACCACTTTATCAAACTCTTATTTCTCATTACATTACCAATACAATATTAAGCAAACAGGTGATGAGAATAAGGAAAATCATCAGCTAAGTGACACTGCTTTCATCTAACACACAATTCTCAGAACTGATATTAAAAGAACTGTATGGCTGTCAGTTAGAAGAATTAATGTTTTGAACTTGGGACTGAAAGGGATAAAGAGTGGAGGACTTGCTGTCAAAATGAGCCAAACAATAGAAAAAGATGAACTCACTTGTCTCTTCCAACCATATTTTTTTATGTTCTGTTTGTTGGGTATCGATACCCAACCTTCCTTGGGTAAATGGACTGAAAAGCAACATGAAGACGGTTAATTTTGATGCACGCTTCAAGAAAATTTGTACAAAAAACCTTCTAAATTACTACATTTGAAACAACAAGCAACCGAATCACAAACAAGTACATACAGAAGTAAGGCAAGTAACACAGAAGTAACGTAAGTTAAAACTACAATCCCACAGCAGCCCAATTTTACACAAGGAGTAATGTACTTTATTATAAGGCTTGTGTTTGTAGCCAATATAACGCGCGCTCTAATTGGCTAATTCTGGGGCATTCTTTTCCCGTAATGCCCACGGGCCGATTATGGGCCTTCAAAAAAAAAGCAAGAATCGATATAACAAACTTATTAACCTTGAACGTTCAGTCTTTACGCGAAAATCTAAAACCTTAGACTTGCCGGGTCAATATGGCAAGGTTCCAGTTTGAGATTTTCCAGTAAAGACCTCACTCTCGGTTGATAAGTAGTCAGTGCAATATAGTTTAATGTGCAATACTGGAATATTTAGCGTTACGAAATTGTTGAAAAGCAAAAAACTTAGTCCTTCTTCATGTAACGCTACCTGCAACACAGCAGAGAATTCTTGGCATGTCAAAGCTAAAGAAACCAGAGATTATGTCATCTTGTTCAGGATGTAACGCAACGCGTTACACCACATCTATGGGAGACATTGCGTGACACGCCTACGTTAGGATGCAGTAGTGTACTATCCTAGTAACTTTCTTACCTGGAACAGAGAGTTCGTCGTTCTCGTTAACGCTCGTATTCAGAGCCCGTTGTTTATTTTGAGAGTTCAGCCTGTCGATCATAAGGTCTTTGGAATCCAGTTCCATCTGCAAAAAGACGATATTCAATTTGAAATATGACTTCTTCCTAATCATGTCCTAAACATGTCGTTAACTAGAATAAACTCAATACGAAACCCCTTTGTGTTAGTTCGGCAAGTCTTCATCAAAGCAAGCGTTCCGCTTACCAAGCAACGTCTAGCAGTTGTCGACAATAGCTGGCTTGGTCGCATTCTCGTCCCCAGAGGCCACGCTCCTTTTGGTCAGCACCAAGAATCGCGACCTCTGGCCGCACCCAATTTTCTGAGCATGCGCAACGACACTAGAAGTCCGCGATTCACGGACTTCCCATCAAATCTGGCAAATCTGATTGGCTGGGAATAAGAAACGAATGTTCTGCGCATGGCCAGAAAATTGGGTCCGGCCAGAGGTCATGATTCTTGGTGCTGACCAAAAGGAGGGCGGCCTCTGGGGACGAGAATGGCTTTGTCGATTTTCAGACACAGGATGCTAAACCAAAAAACTACTTCAACTGAGACAAGTGCGAGGCATCCACACCTTGCAATAAATTTATATAGTAGAAATCTTTCGTAGATGTCATTCGTCCTTAATTTTCATGTTTTTTTTTTTTTTTGGAGAAGGGGGACTAAAATTTAATGAATCTTACAACCAACCCGATATATGCATGAATATACGACGTTTCACAAACAAATGCTTTGATCTTATCTAATCTAATCTAATCAACAGAGAAGTACACCTACCTGCATTTTCTGTCTGTGCTCCACCTCCATCTGTAAATTTAGCTGGTATTCCGCAATTTGCCCTTGGAATTTTGTCACCATCTGGCCATACTTCTCTCGTTCCTAGCGTAAACCAAAACACTCCAAGTTCACTACACCAGAGTGACTGAACTTCTGGAACTATTCTCTCCCTACTATCAGAGGCTTACTATAGGTACTTATTGGCATTTAAATTGTCCTCGTAGCGTGAAGCGGCTATGAGTAACCATACCCGATTAGGCCATTTCCGAGTTACCTCGTGCCTCTGTTTCAAAGCCTTCGTGCAAAACCTTGAATATACAAATGAGTTTGATTTGCCTGAAAATGAACCTGTAGGCGGAACAAATTTCCATATGAATGGTTTGGCACGAAGACTCATTAGACACACGGGCAAAAGGCAACTCAGAGATGGCCTATTTCATCAGCGGGAAAGCCAACAGTCTAACTTACTGCTCCTAATTCTTGATGCAGTTTTCTACACTCTTTTTCCTTCTTCCTCAGGTCATCGGAACTCGCCTTTCTCTTTCTACTGTTCTCCCTCTGCATGAAGTCTTTCCTGCACATGATCTCGGCCAGTTTGTTCACAGCTTGTGTTTTTAATGTTTTCTCGATAAACAGCTGCTTCCTCAAGCTTTCTGTGGCATCTTCGATCTCTTTACTGTTGTCCTTGGACTTTCCGAGCTCTGGTGTAACATTAACAAAAAATAATCACATCACTTGAGTCACCATGTTATTTCTCCCGGCTCAGCACATCACTACGAAGTCAACCAAGCAGTTCATGGGAATAATGAATCAATCTTAAAGGGAACCTCCTATGATCAACTGTGAAATTCGCGATCAAATTCTCTCAAGTGGTACAATGAGGTTGGCTCAAGAGAACTAAACGCAGTCTTAAACACTTGCCATCTAAGATCCAAAGTGGTTTCTGCGCGTGGAGCCGTGGATACCAGATGCAAGGCTTAGGGAATTGACTACTCTCCATTTTCCTCACGGCTCTGCCGCGTTCGTTAGTCTCTAGCTGTGAAGAATGTACTTATGCACAAACTCCCGCCTGCTGTAGTTTGTTGAGATTTAACCTCCCAAAGCTCAATGATTCTATCAACTGGCAGTTGACTACAGCCTTGCCAATTCACCTAGCCCTTTTAAGGTCAAGAGTCAGCCATTGGGCCATGCAAGTACCTTTCAGGTATGCAACAGTCCATAAAAGACTCTAGTTTGTAAGTAAGTAACTGTAAGGAAGTAAGTAGAAGATAAGTAACAAATTCCAAAAAGGTATTTAGTGCACCATATTTCTTTTTAAGCTCAGATTTAACAAGACTGACTGACTTAGACAGTCAACAAAAACAGGATGATTCTTCAATTCTCATCTATAATTCTGAGCTGGATTTTCAGGAACCTTCACTTACCTTCTTGTAAGCCCTTAATTTTAGCATTAAGCTCATCTTTTTCGGACATTTTCTGACCCAAGTTGTCTGTCAACTGCTGGTTAAGCTCTTCAAGCTGACTGATCTGAGCGCCTTTTTCCAGCATGTCACTCTTATGCCTTGCAATTAATTCCTTGACCTCCAGCTCAATCATGGTCTTCTCTTTCTCCAGATCAGAGAACTGTACAGAAACAAAAATACTCATATCTGATATTTTGCCTTTTCCCTACATTGTACGTTCACACATAATAGTCAATGAAAAACAAAACCAAACTTTCTCTAGCTCAAGTATGTCCAATACTCACTTCTTGTTTAAGTAGTGAAGGTCAAGATTCAAGTGGTATGGAGAGTAAAATAAGTGACCACTTGAATGCACAATTAGTGTAAATGGTGAAAGTGGCACTTGTCAGTAATGAAGAATAAAGTATTATTTTACGTTCAAGTAGTGAAAGTGTATCTCGTTAAGTAAGAGGCCTTATTAGCTTGTAGGAATTGTACAAGTCCTTCCACTGGTGAAACCGCATTCTATTAAGTAGGAGACCTAGTCAACTCGTGTGAGTCGAACAAGTCGTACAACTGGAGAAAATGCAGGCATCATACACAGTTGATGGTTACAGAAGTATACTGTTGGCGTTTTTAAGGAGGAAAGAGACTATAAACTGAAAAGAAGGAAAACATAATTATATATTTTTCTAAGTGCGCTACCGTCTTTAATAATCACAAGATTTGAACTTACTTGCTCTTCAGCAATGGACCTGGCCAGCTGTTCCGAGTCAACCATTGTCAATGTCAGCTCTAGCTGAGCAGAGAGAGACTCCCTGAAAAATATAATACACATAAAATTTAACACGGCCCTGACTCAGCGGTAATTGATATTCGAAATTTTCTCCAAATCTGCGCTATTGTAGATAATGTCTCTGCTCCTGAAAACGTTTAGGAGTTGGTCTAAACCTTGACTCTCTGGTGGAACGTTCTATACTAGTTCAACCGTGTTGCATGCCTAGCTCTGTATTCTGAAGGTAAGGTAGGCAGGTTAAGTCTGCATACCAGCCAAGTGGCCCAACAGACCGAAGCTTATCCCGGTTTCTGTCCGGTTTCTGTAGCATGAAGCCACTAAAAGTATTGAGATGCTAGTCCATCGCAAGGTTACCCCAGCATTAAGTTTGCCAGTACCCATTTATACACCTGGGTGAAGAGAAGCACTGTGAGAGTAAAGTGCCTTCCCCAAGAACACAACGCAATGTCCCCGGCCAGGGCTTGAACCCAGACCACCTGATCCAGAGACGAGCGGACTGACCATGAGGCCACCGCGCCTCCCATGTTCTGAAGCATGGGTGTATTTAGGAGAAATTAAGCAGTGGTCACTGTTGCGGTATCTCACCTCTCTTCACTGAGCTGTCGTATTTCATTGCTCATCTCCTGCAACTGTTTTTCCTTTTCATCAACTTCTTCTCTCAGTTCTTTCACTTGGGTTTTGTACAGAGTCTGCAAAGGAAAAACATTGACTCAGATTGAAGCAACGGCAATAAAATCACTGAGGAATCACACACTAAACATTTCAACGTCGAGTTGAATTGATTGAACAAATTCAACTCCTCCACGCTTTGTAAATAGCTAACTGGCCTGCCTCCCGACAGCTGGGAGTTTTAACAAGTTTTTGTTCAATTTGCAATATTAGTTTGCTTGTTTCAGTGTCCCCAGTCACTAAAGTAGTGCTAAACACTGCAGCACTTAAATAAAGTCATTAATTTATATGGATTATTTATTTGGACTATGAAAAGCAACATATCAGACAAAATACACACTAATAAACATGCTGGCAGTGTGGAATTTTGTGCCTTGAATCGTGGGAGTTTCTCTTGGGTGTTCAGTAGATGATACCTACTGTAAAGAAAAATGTCTGTGTGCCAAGGCTAACTACAAACACTGGCTGAATAACTGGAGAGTTTTCACTTTTTCACTCACGTGGCCAGCAGCCATATAAATTTATTGGAACAAAAGAAAGTGTTTACATAAGGAAAGAGTTCATCTCCCACAGGATTGGTTTGGTACACCAACATGGTCGCCGTTTCATTGTTTTGGGTTGCTAATATGGCTGCTGTGTCGTCACGTGAAAACACTGTAAAATAGGTTTCAAAGCATTTGTTATCAATTTTTACCGAAAAGTATGTTTCTGCCTCCAGTTGGTCCTGCAGCTCTTTCATCTGTAGATCATCCACAGCACTTGCACTGTAAAAATAGGATGTGTATATATGCGGTAAATGTTTTATACTGTCTTGTGAAAAAAGTCAGAAAGGTAAGAATTCCTGAGTGTAATAATTAGAACTCCACCCCCTGCAAAACATGGTTTCCTATACCATTCAGGGGGAGCAAAGATGTTTTACAAGACTATTTTCTGTTTTCTTGTCATTCAAGGAATAACCTAAAAATTCACATGCCAACTAGTCTTTCAGGAGACAGTGTATACGTTACACATAACAGAGCAGACCCATGTCTAACAATGTATTAACTCTTCATTTAATTATTGCTTTCATTGCTTAGTGCAAATGTGAACTTTGAGAATAAAACTGGGGTTAGTGTTGGGCGGTGGTAGACCATTGCCATTTGGTACATGCGATTACCTTTTGAGTTTCGTGCATGCATCTTCCAACTGCTTTCTTTCTTCCATCAGATCTTCTACTTGCTAAAAGTCAATCAAGAAAGAGATTCCTAAATGTAAAACATGGACTGTTGATTCCAAGGGATAGAGCCCAGCTAACTCAAGTTAAGACTTAATTCTAAAATAAAGAAACTTGACTACAAATCAGCTAATAGTGGGTGACTGAATAGCACTAATATGAAAATAAGTCAACATCTAAAACACCAGTTCTGAAGAACTGCCCCCAGGGACAAACAATGAATAATATGTGTTTCAAACCTTAGCAAGTTGTTTCTCTGTTGATCTCAGAGCAGCTATTTCTTGAGCGTTCATTTTCAAGTCACTTTCCAGTTGTGTTCTTCTCTGGTTCTCGGAGTCCAACTTGGCATTCAAACTCTTATTCTAACAAATAAAAGCACAAGCAAACATGAAAATTACTGTCTCTGAATAAATCTTTCAAACACAGTCAGACCCTGGTAATTCAAACTCGGTTATTTCAAATTCCCCGTTATTTCGAACTCAAACCCACTTCCCTTGAATTTGTTCTTCAGTCATTTACTATCTGCCATTTCGAACTCCCACTATTTCAAACTATTTTTTTCTTCCCCTGACTGAGTTTGAATTAGCGGGGTTCAACTGTAGCTCCAAGTAGTTACAAAATGTAATTTGGCCAGATTTAGCAACCTCTTGAATTTGTTAGCATGCTACAGCATACTTGTGACAATTGACCATAGTTCTGTTTTTCAACAGTTTCCAAGAAACGACTTTTACCATGGCAATCATAATGATATCCCAATGATGTTTAATTTTCATTTACTTTGAAGGAGAGTGGTTTGACAACTTGTTGTCCAAATTTGACAGAAAAAAAAATGTTTAACTGTTTTTAAGTAAATCTAGAAAGGTGATATAAGCTATTTAAACCCATTGTGATGCCAGGCATCAGCAGTCCACCGGATAAATCACTATCCAGTGGATAGGTGTCAACAAAACAAACCACACTATCCACTTGATACTGATTATTTATCCAGTGGATAGTGTTATTCATCCTTTGAACAACCAGGGCCAGAGCTGTAGATCTATTTTGTTCTTTTTCCAACAAATCTCACCTTGTCTTGAAGGACATTATATTCTTGTTTAAGTCTCTCCAGCTTCTGTTGTAAATCTTTAAGATCCACAGCTAAAACGGATCGTTCTCTCTCAGCCTCGGCAGCTGCTGCCTCAGCCTTCTCCCTGATCACCAATTCCTGCTCAAGTCTTTCCAAAGTTTTGCTTTGTTCAGCTCGTTCTTGTTCTGTTCTCTCTTCCAGAGTCAGTGATAACCTATTCTTTTCTGTCTGGTAACTGGTAAGTTGTTGCTGCAAAACAAAATCACATTTAGGTCTCCCACAGTTGAATCATAGAACAGAAGTCCTAAAACTTTGGTTTAGCTCGACAGTTCTTGTTGATACCTTTTAGTTCCTATAGGATGCTTACTATACCGTAGAAATCTAAGAGACTTACCTTTTTGGTGTATCAAGGATTATCGATTATTTTTTCTTTTCCTATTAAAATTCTCTTTTGGGAGTTTAGGGGACAGCAGGGATTGAGGGGACTACTTTAACAAAAGGAATTCGCACTTTGGTATGGCATGGTTCTTACGTCAAATTGGATGTTCTTGAGTGTTTCTAAACAATTTTTTCCCCTTCCCTTCCCTTCCCTCCCCTCCCTTAATTCTGGCTGATATCTGGTTACAAGTGATGTCAGCCATGACAAAGATAAGGCACTTGATCCAGGGCCTGGTTGCCAATAGCAGGCATCCAGAATCCAGTTATGCAAATGCAGTTGTTAGCTGAGTCAGCTTCAATTGAGGGGTACATATAGAAAGATAAAAGTGCCGCTTGTACACTTGGTGTAGAAATAAACCTATTACAGAAGACTAATCATACCTTGTACTCTAATGTAACTTTTTCAAATTTATTCTGGACAGACTTGAGTTCATACTCAGTGTTAGCCTTTGCCTGGACAATGAAAAACAATAAAATAACCAGTGAGCAAAAATCATTGAATGTTACAGAAGAGTACTTGTAGAAGGAGTCCAGTGGCCAAATGATCAGCGTGCTAGACTCTAGAACAAACGATCAGGATACATGTCTAGCTGGCATAGATGCGTTTAAGGAGAGGGCCTCAGAGGACATAGCCCTCTAATATTGTCTGAAAAATAAAAAATCCGACATTCTTGGCTGTGAAAAATTTCATCACAATTGCTCCATAGTGCAGGAAATGTTGCGATCTAGATTTTTACTATTTTGCAGGCAGGGAGCAAAACATACCCTCACCCCCTTCTAAGTTGTCATGACAGCTAAAGTTCAATCATCCTTACTTTTTCCAAGTTGATAAGATCCTGTTGAAGTTTTTGCTGCAATCTGGCATCTGATGCAGATCTTGCCCTTAACTGCTCAAGCTCATCTTTTAGGAGTCTGTTCTGACCTGCAAGTAATTACAGACAGACAATTACATGCAAAGCAGTTTTTGGAATCGTGTTCGTTCTTAGAATGAGTTGGTACAACTACTACTGGATAATTTTGTTTCTCCTTGTCAACTGCACCCTTGACAAGATGTGTGCTGTTAGTGAAAGGGGAAATTACCTGTAGTTCACTTCTTGGAATTAATACTGTAGGTTTAGCTGTTTACATTTCATGCAAAGAGAATCAAAACAGCCATTTCGATATAATGTATTGCCTATGGTTTATTAATAGAAATCTTCACAATTTGACAAGCTGTGTCTTTGTCATCAAATAAACAAACAAATTGTGAGTATACACTATCGTGATTAAGGATCTAGAGAAAGAAACTATTTTTACCTATGGAGAAACAAACTTAACCAGATCACATTGTTAAAACATAGATAGCCTATTTTTCCTGTTTTCTACTTTAATACAGTTTGGCTATGCATAATTGCACAGTGTCTAGCCTTGAAGCCATCTTCTAACAGTGTTAGAAATTAGCACTTGCCCGCTCGCCAATGTGTGTGAAAAGTGTTGGGTGAGCACAAATCAGCGATCACTCACCTGTTAGGCGAGTACGATTTTCATTCTTGTAAAATCATTATATCATTCGAGATGCCCAGATAATTTGCCAATAAATTAAATACACTTTTTAGTTTCCAATTGGAATATTTACTGCGATGATCATTCTTTACTTCCATACACTTTCCATTCTACCAAAAACTTTGGTGATCCTAAGGAAGCTATCCTAAATGGACCAGAACAAGAAAGCTCAACACGAAATAGCAAGCTGGGCCTCCATGGTTACAAGACAGTGAAAAAAAAAGTATGGTTCATGAATCATTGCCAAGACTTTTTTTGGGAGGGGAGGCATCTTTCTGGGCAAGTGAAAATTACACCGGGTTAGTGCATTTTGAGAGTCACTCGCCCAAATGGCGAGTGCTGTCAAAATTTAGTTTCCAACACTGTTTTAAGATTTTACATGATCACTTCTTTATAACACTAGCAGTGACAGCTTACATTCCATATCTGCTTTAGCACTATTTGCTTGATTTCTCATGTTCATTTCCGCTTCAAGATTTCCCTGCACCTTGATAAGCTCTCTCTCTAAGCCAAGCTGTTGAAAATTGGTCAAACCAACACAGAGTTAAGAAAGAACACAAAGTGAAGCCAGTACATAATGATAACAATCCTCACAACTGCCACATGCATGAAACAAGTAGATCACTGAACAGTTGTCAGCAGATAAATTCTAGTTTTAGCAAATCGCATTTTGATCAGTTGGTATGGTTCCTAGTATGTCTGTTCTCCTATCAAAATTGATCATTAAATGTCACTTTTTAACTAATTTATAATAGGACTTTTGTAATAGGTGAGAGTTTATGCATTCAATTTCAAATTGACAATGAAATTCTTAACACTGTGTAAAGTTTAATATCAGAGAAAACCTACATACGAGTTTACAAATCATAATTATTTCAACACACCATGACATAACAGTTACCTTCTGTTCACTAATGATCCTATTCTTGTCTTGTAAATCCCCATATGTTCTCTCCATAACNCACAGTTGAATCATAGAACAGAAGTCCTAAAACTTTGGTTTAGCTCAACAATTCTTGTCGATACCTTTTAGTTCCTATAGGATGCTTACTATACCGTAGAAATCTAAGAGACTTACCTTTTTGGTGTATCAAGGATTATCGATTATTTTTTCTTTTCCTATTAAAATTCTCTTTTGGGAGTTTAGGGGACAGCAGGGATTGAGGGGACTACTTTAACAAAAGGAATTCGCACTTTGGTATGGCATGGTTCTTACGTCAAATTGGATGTTCTTGAGTGTTTCTAAACAATTTTTTCCCCTTCCCTTCCCTTCCCTCCCCTCCCTTAATTCTGGCTGATATCTGGTTACAAGTGATGTCAGCCATGACAAAGATAAGGCACTTGATCCAGGGCCTGGTTGCCAATAGCAGGCATCCAGAATCCAGTTATGCAAATGCAGTTGTTAGCTGAGTCAGCTTCAATTGAGGGGTACATATAGAAAGATAAAAGTGCCGCTTGTACACTTGGTGTAGAAATAAACCTATTACAGAAGACTAATCATACCTTGTACTCTAATGTAACTTTTTCAAATTTATTCTGGACAGACTTGAGTTCATACTCAGTGTTAGCCTTTGCCTGGACAATGAAAAACAATAAAATAACCAGTGAGCAAAAATCATTGAATGTTACAGAAGAGTACTTGTAGAAGGAGTCCAGTGGCCAAATGATCAGCGTGCTAGACTCTAGAACAAACGATCAGGATACATGTCTAGCTGGCATAGATGCGTTTAAGGAGAGGGCCTCAGAGGACATAGCCCTCTAATATTGTCTGAAAAATAAAAAATCCGACATTCTTGGCTGTGAAAAATTTCATCACAATTGCTCCATAGTGCAGGAAATGTTGCGATCTAGATTTTTACTATTTTGCAGGCAGGGAGCAAAACATACCCTCACCCCCTTCTAAGTTGTCATGACAGCTAAAGTTCAATCATCCTTACTTTTTCCAAGTTGATAAGATCCTGTTGAAGTTTTTGCTGCAATCTGGCATCTGATGCAGATCTTGCCCTTAACTGCTCAAGCTCATCTTTTAGGAGTCTGTTCTGACCTGCAAGTAATTACAGACAGACAATTACATGCAAAGCAGTTTTTGGAATCGTGTTCGTTCTTAGAATGAGTTGGTACAACTACTACTGGATAATTTTGTTTCTCCTTGTCAACTGCACCCTTGACAAGATGTGTGCTGTTAGTGAAAGGGGAAATTACCTGTAGTTCACTTCTTGGAATTAATACTGTAGGTTTAGCTGTTTACATTTCATGCAAAGAGAATCAAAACAGCCATTTCGATATAATGTATTGCCTATGGTTTATTAATAGAAATCTTCACAATTTGACAAGCTGTGTCTTTGTCATCAAATAAACAAACAAATTGTGAGTATACACTATCGTGATTAAGGATCTAGAGAAAGAAACTATTTTTATCTAAGAAGAAACAAACTTAACCAGATCACATTGTTAAAACATAGATAGACTGTTTTTCCTGTTTGCTACTTTGATACAGTTTGGCAATACATAATTGCACAGTGTCTAGCCTTGAAGCCATCTTCTAACAGTGTTAAAAATTAGCACTCGCCCACTCACCAATGCGTGTGAAAAGTGTTGGGTGAGCACAAATCAGTGATCACTCACCTGTTAGGTGAGTGGGATTTTCATTTTTGTGAAATTATTATATCATTCGAGATGTCCAGATAATTTGCCAATAATACACTTTTTAGTTTCCAATTGGAAAATTTACTGCGATGATCATTCCTCACTTTCATACACTTTCCATTCTACCAAAAACTTCAGTGATCCTACGGAAGCTATCCTAAATGGACCAGAACAAGAAAGCTCAACATGAAATAGCAAGCTGGGCCTCCATGGTTACAAGATAGTGGAAAAAAAGTATGGTTCATGAATCATTGCCAAGACTTTTTTGAGAGGGGAGGCATCTTCCTGGGCGAGTGAAAATTACACCAGGTGAGTGCATTTTGAGAGTCACTCGCCCAAATGGCGAGCGCTGTCAAAATTTAGTTTCCAACACTGTTTTAAGATTTTACACGATCACTTCTTTATAACACTGGCAGTGACAGCTTACATTCCATATCTGCTTTGGCACTATTTGCTTGATTTCTCATGTTCATTTCTGCTTCAAGATTTCCCTGCACCTTGATAAGCTCTCTCTCTAAGCCAAGCTGTTGAAAAATGGTCAAACCAACACAGACTTAAGAAAGAACAGAAAGTGAAGCCATAATGATGACAATCCTCACAACTGCCACATGCATGAAACAAGTAGATCACTGAACAGTTGTCAGCAGATAAATTCTAGTTTTAGCAAATCGCATTTTGATCAGTTGGTATGGTTCCTAGTATGTCTGTTCTCCTATCAAAATTGATCATTAAATGTCACTTTTTAACTAATTTATAATAGGACTTTTGTAATAGGTAAGAGTTTATGCATTCAAGTTCAAATTGACAATGAAATTCTTAACACTGTGTAACGTTTAACATCAGAGAAAGCTACAAACGAGTTTGCAAATCACAATTATTTCAACACACCATGACGTAACAGTTACCTTCTGTTCACTAATGATCCTATTCTTGTCTTGTAAATCCCCATATGTTCTCTCCATAACTGTGTACGACTACAGGAGATAATGAAGACAACACAATCATTGATATAAACACAAAAATGTTGCAAAAATATCACCTTATTTATCAGGGGGATAAATCACAAAATCCTACAGTTTGGGGGCAATTTGTTTCGAAAATAGTCCTTACACTATTCCACATTGTAGTTCCAGAAAATATCCATACCTCCTCCACAGAAAGAATTTCTCCCAACCCCTCTGGAAAGTCCAGTTAAGCTTCACATATTTCTTTAAATTTTTTGCTCTTACTGATCAACAACCCTCCCCCTCCCCCAAACCCCCAAGGCAAATTGGGGGAGGAGTATCCGGAACAACACAATAACAGTTTTGTGCACACGATAGTGTCATTTGACTACAACTACCAGAGCTCATTTCCCAGTGTGGTTTAAACAACAGTTGTCCTAATTAACATAAGAAACTGAAAAAGTGAAGGATTCTGGTAGTTGAAGTCAAATGGCGCCATCATGCAAATCGCCTATTAGGCATCATCTACCGCAGATCAAACATACCTTCTGTAAATCACTATGTAATTTTTTATCCTTAGTATGTGCATCCATTTCCACTCTGAGTTGTTCTGTCAACTCCCAGACCTGCTTCTCATACTGAGTTATCTTTGATTGGACACTCTGTGAGGACTGTGAAATTCTGTCCCGAGCATCAAGTTCTGCATCAAGACGGCTCTGTAGTTCCTGCACTTTGCCTTCAAGCTTACAAAGTTTCAAGAATAATCATGGTTACCAATCTGTATACGAATCTGTTGAAGCAGTGATAAAAAATAACCAAATACAAAATTAAGTAACCAAATTACTTACTTTTCTCTTCGCTTCAGCTTCAAACTCACACCGCCTCTGAGCCTGTTTAGTGAACCAGTAGCAAAAAAATTATCAAATGGATTTGATGAATTTCACAATCCATCACAGAGGTTTTTTTCCCATCCTTTCAAAATCAAGGTTATCCCTTTGTCTGTGAAACAACCACTACTTAGTGGAGCTATTTCTTGAGTTAAAATGTTTGCATAAATAAATGCAATCATGCAATCAGACACCACCCTAAACAAGAAAAGATCTTGAAAGTTCCACAAATTCAAAAGTTATCATAAAAAACCAAGATGGCATGTCCTGGGAAACTACAAAGAAATAATCAGCCTATCTCTTCTCTGGATCAGTTTTCATCAACAGCTTTATTCTAGAGAACTTTTCTCTTCTCAGAACAAATTGTGTCTACTGACAGGACAGTATGCATATTGATACAAAAGGAGGCTCCCGTCCATGGCTTAGTTTTGCAATTACAGAAAAACCTACCTCTTTTAAATCATGTTTAAACAATGCTGCATTTCTTTCAAGTTCTCTGTTTAATGATTCTACTCTTCTTTTTGCCTCAGACTGGAAAATAAAGATGGTGTTGATCAATGACCGAGAAACATTCACTTCACATGACAGGATGACAGTAACTGTACCAGCAAAATGATTCCCATTTCATTGTCAATGACAAGGAATTATTTCTGCACCTAACCTGTGCTTTTGTATTTAGGTTGGGAAAAACAATTAAATGAGTTACTCAAAGCACTCTTCACTACTGCTAGGACACCTGACAATTTTCAGGCTTACACTTTGAGCAAGCTGTAACTATGATGTATTAGACTAAAAGTCATTCTCACTAGCCCAAAAAGTGTACACCTGTTACGATACATCTGTATTCAGAATAAATTTCCTCAAAATTTTTGGGAGAAACTTCACTTGCCCATTAAGTATATGAAGGACAGAGCCCAAAATTAGAAGATTTTGCAGTTGGGCTAGTGGGCTATCAGATGCAACTTTCTTTGCATGCTTTTCTCACCTCATTGTCCAATTCTTTCATGACTTTTTCCAGCTTGGTGCTAACCATTCTGAAGAAGCAAATAACAATGCGACTGCTGAAAGGCAGCTCGTTGGAGGACAAAACATCACAGTACCTTCACTAAACCTAATTAATAGCAACTCCTGTGCAATCAGACACAGCAGCAAACTTGCACAAAAATTCTCTCTAAACTTCTCAAACTCATTAATAATTCATCAAGTTAAAACAAAGGAAATCACAAACATGAAGGAGGTTTGGATACCCAGTCTTAATTAGCATAGATTTTGGCAATTTTACTTCTCCCTTTTCTCCTTAATTTTTGTTTCAATTGAGAAGATATATCAAACACCCAAGACAGTGTTTCGTCGGCTACCCAAACACCTCAAATGTCTTCAAAAATACTCCGCTGCATGTCGTATTTTCCACTCTCTTCTCATCGTTTGGATTTCCCGATGAAACACTGTCTCTCATGTTTGATATATTATGTCAATCTCTACTTGACAATCACCATTTTTTGACTTGCTTAAGTACTTTAGTTGCTGTCCTTACAAGTGAAGCATGCCATGAAGCACTGATTGTCTAACCTATAATTATGTTCCACCTCATCTTTAGATTGCATTTCAAGTGCAACTTGTTCCTCTAATTCTCTCAGTCTACGGTTAGTAGCTTCAAGCTGAAAGATTAAACATTATATGTATAACCATATGTATAACCATTAAAAATAACATTTCCTGTTTAATGCAATGGGAACACATTTGACATGTGTCCATTATAAGGAACAACTACAGCTCACAGTCCTTTGTTTTAGACAAAACTTTCTAGTTTTTTCAAATTTTAAAAGGGACATGATTAAACAGAAGATAACACAAGTAAATAGTGCCCAAGTCAAGAGAAATAATGCTTGTAATATTGTGGGTGTCAAATTAATCCTTCATTTTGGTGCAAAATTCCAGCATTAATTTATAATTTCACACATGAATTTACAAAATTGCCATGACAACACTAGGCATGACATTTCTTGATACAATAAACAAGTCAAAAACCCACAATTGTGAGTGTAATTTGTCACCCATGATATTACAGTGGAACCCCACCTTACGACCACCCTGTTAATACGGCCACCTTGTTATTACGACCACTTTATTCTGGCCTGAACAAAAGCTCAGTCAGTCATTTTCTTATTTAAAGAACCCCTTTAATATGGCCACCCTGTTAATACGACCAAATTTTTGTGGCCCGTTGGTGACCAGATTAACGGGGTTCCACTGTAAAAGGTAATCAAATGGTATACTCATGAAATAAGGAAATAATTTTGCTTGCGTTTTGTCAAAATTCTAATAGTACTATGACTATTACCTTTGATCGGCTATCATTTCCACCATTGGAACTATTTCCATCCTAAGGAAAACAAGATAAAAATTACCTCATCTACATGAGAAATAAGGTATTATAACAGGAAAATTCAAAGCAACGAGAGTGGATTGTCCTTTTTACCCTCCTCACCATTCCATCAGCACCACCCGCACCTGGTGAGACATTCCATCTGCAAACATGACAATTAGAATTAGAACACAACAGTTTCAATCACCCTGTAAGAAGCATGAGATGCGTCTTTCTTGATTTCTTATTTTGTTGGCTCAAACAAAATTTTAAGAACAAACCCATTTGTTAAAAGCACAATAGAATAGGACTTACTATTGGTCCAGACATGTTTATGTCATCCACTAATTTTCATTAGTTTTAACATTCTTTGCGGATTGACACAAATTTAGCATGTGTTGCCTTGCATAAAAAGAAAGTTTTCCCATGCATGTATTTTTGACATACAGCAAAGCCTTTCAGGCAGTCTTGACTGCATTGTATGCTTAGTACTAGCAGGCAGAAATACATTCCAAAGGAGAATTAGGAAACAAGATCTCTTCTATATTCCAGCAAAATTAGAGCCTGTGAGGAAATGTCAAAGGAATGCATTTTGCACAGCTTTCTCTGTTACACTGTAGGTTACTTTTGTCCAGTATAAAGGGTTAAATTGCTTGCTTAGAGAGCACCAACAGAACATTACCCAGATAGCTAAAGCAATGCATGCAGCTTACTTTTCTCTCTTACACTGTAGGTTACTTCTGTTTAGTACAAAGGGTTAAATTCCTTGCATATTTTGTATTAAGTGCGCATCACAAAAGTGCACCTTCCAGCACAAACCACATGTTTCCTGGCTACCAAGTAACACTAAGGCGTTATGTGTCTAATGGCGCATCAAGGACGGTTGATGATGACTAAGTAGTCTGAAACTTAATAGCTTACTGTAGTCTCGTACAAGATTTTATTCAGTTTATTTCTCACGATAACAGCACACATTGTAACTGAAAACAATAAACCTTCACTTACTCAACTTCCTCTGAGAATGTAAATCCTATAAAAGGTAGATGATTGCCAGCAAAAGCCTGTTAAGTGATACCAGATCAAATTTAGTATCCTTACTTATTATTATTTACCCTTGTCTAGATTTCATGCAAGAAAAAGTTGTAAATATTTTAAGACTGTTTTTTACAATAACTGTCAAATTTCTCGCATGCTGATTGGCTCATTTTTATCATCAATAAGAGTACAGATGGATAAAATTTTAATTTATGCAAGCTTTCAAGTTCAACTTTCAGCTGTCATACTGTCAATTTTTTAACCAATGAGATTTTATGGACCTTTTTAAGTAGCCAATCAAAAAGCGAGTTAAGCTATAGACACAGTTCGCGTCATTTTAAGTAAAATTCACTTATCTTTGTTTACGGCGTCATTTCCCCTCGTTTATTCCCGGAATTTGACCATTTTGGAGTCTTGTTATTGTAAAAAACAAATTGACGTCAGTTTTTTATGCGTCTGTCCTCTTATTGATGATAAATTTTGTAACAACACTGTCAAAGTTTACTGCGGAACCACTCGCCTGTGGCTCATTGTTCCACAGCCACTTTGACAATGTTATGACACAATTTATCATCAATAAGAGGACAGATGCATAAAAAACTGGCATCAATTTGTTAAATGTACACAGACTACTTGAGGCATACCTTTGGAGTAGGGAAGAACTCCTCTCCACTGTCTGGCTCAGGAATGTCATCAAAGTGAGAGTAATCATCATCACTAGAAAGCTCAGGGACCACAGGTGGAACAGCTGCCACAATAATCAAAATATAGATTGATTAGAATGCAGACCTCAGCTTCAAAAACATATGCACCTAGCAAGGTAAAAAGTGTGATACAGAAGTAAGATGGAACCAGCTTGTACAGCATATTAGATAGTATCAGATGAAAGCACTGCTTAGAAGCTGTCTTTTAAATGGGTTCATCTCCAAATTTACAACATAGATGCACAGAGTACAAAATGACCACATGAAAGTACTGCTGCTCAATATCTCTCATTTGACAGGCCATTTACTAGCATAGTGTGAAGACTTACAAGCTTGAATTATCTTTTACAGGTTGATATAAAGTACCAGATTAAATTACTGCTCAATTTCTTTTATCTAAATGCTCACAAACTAGTACTTCACACACAAGACTTACAAATTAGAATCACCTTGTATAGCATAATAAATACCAGATAAACATTACAAAATTAATATGATCACAGTGTCAAGTACATTACTTGCAAAAGTGCCCGAAATAAAAATTGTCCAAAATGTTTTGCAAGTAATCAGATTATAAAAAACCTTTTATTAAATCCTAAGCATTATGATTACCATCTCTGATGGAGTTCCAGTCCCACTGGTCATTGAAAAAAAATCTATGCTTCTGAATCTCTGCTATCCCTCTTTGGCCAATCCTTTGAGTTCTACAAAAAAAAGGAAAAAAATATACATACTCCTTAACCTTGATGATCTTTCTTATACTTGAGAAATATTAAAGAGAACCATTAGTGGATTATTGGTGTTTTTATGCTTGTTTATGCAACCCTTGTTAAATGAAGACCTTAATTACTTACTATGATGACATAAGGAAAGTAATTTCAAAGTAGAAATGGCATTCCAAGCCTACCAGGAAAATAAAACTAAGAGATATTGTAGTTACCTGTCAGTGAGAAAACTACAAATTAAATGCTTGGCATCCTTTGATATCTCAATGTCATCAGGAAACTGCAATGAATTTTTATGATCCATAATTTTTCCTGTACAAGGGAAAGAATACAGGGTTAAGCAACCAAGTAATAATGTTGAAAACTGGAAGTCAAGTTTCCATTTGGACTATTTTCTAGCCTCAGGCTCTGAAAGTGACTAGGAGTGTTTCTACCCCTCTGTCCTCCAAAGGTTTACNAATTTGATGTCTGTTAAACCTGTAAAACATGTTTCCGTATCTCATCATGATATCATGGTTACTACAACTAATACTAATACTACTATCATCATCATAACATTAATTAACATTAATAATAATAATAATAATAATAATAATAATAATAATAATAATAATAAACACTATAATACATGTACCAGCAGCTTATACCAGGCAAGCAAACATCAAAGATGTACCACTTTGCACAAAACATTATTTCACATATCAGTAAACATTGAACAATAATATTTTTACTCCTATGCAAACATTTGAAGATTTTTGTAACCTTTGTCAGGCATTCTTTCAGCTTAATAAAAATAATTCAAAAGTCTGTGTGTGAATCAATTCATCACAAGGTAAAATTAAGGCAGTGGTCCATAGATGCAAATGATCTTAATTCAAGCCGTCTAGACCATTACACACCAACTCACAGGGTGCTTACTAGGGAACTGTAACATTGGGGCAAGTGTATTTATAATACAGAAACAGTAATTCAACTTACCAACCAGTAGCTCATACAAGAACACTCCTACACTCCACCAGTCACACTCACGACCATAGTAGCCTTCACCACCCTGAGACTTGAGAACCTAATGTGATATGGTAAACTAAAGGTCAGTGTCCAGGAAAAATGTACAATCTGCTTCGATCGGATACACAAGCTCTTCCAAAAGGAAAATAATAAAGTTAATCCAAGCTGTGGGAGTGCACTGGAGGTTTATCACAACTGAGCTTAGTTATATGATTTAGTTTCAACAAATCTCCACTAGCTTAGTGATAGTGTCTAACCTTTAAGTTACTATCGCTCTTAATTAAACAAAGCTCTGTCTATAACCGGTACCGTTACTAGTTATATTTCTTTTTATATTTATATCTATATATTTTTTTTCTCTTTCCACCTCTTCGTTTCTTTAATTTTCCTACAACCGATTCAAAGCGTAATAATTCTTGTAACTACTCAGCTCATTTAGTTTTTACTATTTTGAGTAGTTTTTTAGCTTATTTAAGTTTAATGTATTCTTTTGCTGAATGATTTTCTCTGTATTATGCAAAATAAAATGGTGGTGGTTGTTGTTGTTGTTAACAACTCTTGTCCCCAGAGACCATGATTATCCTCCTCCAACACCAGAAGTCCACAATTCTCAGACTTCTCATCAAATCTGACAGGAAAGGAGGACTGTTTCTTACCTCAGGAGAAATATAATCAGGTGTACCAACCGCTGTATCTGATCTAACCATACCATCCTACAAGATAAAGTTTAAGGTATGTCAGTTAGTCCCAAAAGAAGTTCTCATGCTGCATTGAGAGCAAGCAAAAATTCTTTATTAGATCACTACACAAGGCAAAATTGTCACAGCCTCAAAGAGCGAGATCTTTTAAGGAACACGTCTTAAAAGACATGGCTGTTCCTAAAGAAATCTATGAATTAACTGCATGAGCATTTGTACTAACTCATTAAAAAAGAATTAGATTATACCTTGTCCATTCTCATGCAAGTTCCAAAGTCTGCAAGCTTAAGATGGCCTTGCTTGTCAAGAAGCATGTTGTCTGGTTTCACATCCCTATGTTAAAAAAGTCACGTCAATCTTCACTAAACAAGTTAAGGCTTAATCATTCCAAAAAAAAAAAAGGGTGACCAGGCCATCCAGGCCATATTTCAATAGTCACCATGTTTGCTTTCACCTGTGAAAATTGGGCAAGTGACTTAGCTTTGAACAGGCAAAGAAGTTACGATCTATAGATTTAAGCTAATTTCTTATTATTTCTGAAATTGTTTCCATAGTTAGCGTATTGAAAAAATGGTTGCTTTCAAGAAACTATTCAGAACTATAGCTGTATCAATTAAGTCTTACCATAAATAATGTGCCTTTAAATAAAATTGTCAGTAAAATAATTTTATCAACCTTGTCGACACGGATAGCACATATTAAACTTATGACTGTCAAACCAGTGGCCCTCAGATTCCCAGTTACACTAGGGGTGAGAAATGTCACTTGGTTTTTGTCCAGGGATGAAAACACAAGAACTTGCAGAAAAATCCTTGGATCAAGGACAAAAACCACTAACAAACTCACATACAATGTCTGGTACCAAGTCCAGAAATTGAACATGGGCCACATTGCTGGGAGGTTCTCAACACTGTGGTTATATATCATCCTCACAGATGCTCCACTACTGGGACGGGTTAATTTTCCAAGTTGTACCTTCTTTACAATACTTGTTATCCAATCAGAATAGATGCTATAAAACCACAATTTTATCGAATGAGAACCAGGGACTTTCCCAGGAGATACACGTAAAGGTTTTCCAATAATAATAATAACAATAACAGTAACAGTAACAGTAACAGTAACAGTAACAGTAACAGTAACAGTAACAGTAACAGTAATAACAATAATACCTGTGAATAAATCCCATTGAATGGATGGCATCAAGGGCTAGCACCACTTCAGCACCATAGAACTTGGCCCACTTTTCAGGAATGTCATAGTTACTCATAAGGTTGACCAAATCACCTCCTGCACAAAATAAGGGATTTTAATTTATCAGATCCTACAGTGTTTCATGCAATGTCACAACCACAAAGTATGAGGGCTTGTTTTTGTTTTGTTTCCTCCGAAATGAAATGGTACTGGTTTGGCTTCAAGGGTGATGTATTTACATAGTGGCAATGGGTGATTCCAGAAAATATCTACCCTATGACACTGGCAGCTCTTTGGAATTCTGAGTGCAAAGGGGGTTCCTTGAACTGGAGATCCAAAAGCATGGCGGGCACTTACGATTGGAATTCAGAGGGCAAGGGTGGGGGAGATTTCTAGAGGGGACAGACAAGTGCAAAAGCGTAAATGAACTGACAACACTGCTGACTACCACAAAAAGCAAGATACAATAGGGGCATCGATCAATCATGCATGTGTTAACATTCATTTACAGAGGGAAAGCAATAAAATCTGGGTTGTACATTGGGCTCCACAGGCCTTAAAGTTGATGAATTTCTTGTCAGAAAACCATTTGTGACAAAGGCCGACCCTATGTGCCAGCAATATATATTCATGAAGAAATCGCTTTGGTGGTGTCTGAACAAGTGTCGCTCATAGTATCAAAGGTAAATTAGGCAGGATTTACTCACGCATGTTCTAATTTCCATAGTAATTAACAGACAAAACGATTGAAATTTTTATTGATCCTTCACAAGTTTAGATGAAAACTAGTTGCAAAATTGCGACTGAAGAGGAGGAAGCCTTAGTCGCTGAACATTTAGTCACGAATTCATGTGATCAAATCGGTCACAATTTTAAGTCCTGCAGACAGTTGGTAAACTTCTGGGAAGATGTAAAAGTGTTAAATCTCTTTCATTGGAAGTTGTAGGGTCAAACTAGGATTCCAGATGGTTGAAGTAAAAAGCAGGAATCCAGAAAGGACGGCAGCTTGATGATTTTGGAATTCGGAGGGCATGGGGGATAGAGCATTTTGGAATTTCCGATGGAAAGGGGGTTAAAATGTTCATGCCACCCCTGGTAAGGTATGGATATTTTCTGGAATCACTCAATAGTGATTCTAAGCTAGATTGAAACAATATAGTATGGAAAAATACAAAGGTATTACTCTGCTTGTTTTAAAACTTGATGCTGTTAGATGCAGTTTAACAAAATTAACAACAAAGAGCAGCTGGCAGTTCCGGCCGGCGGTATCCATATGGTATTGCAGGCTCAGTGCACTTCACCATTGTGCTAGCGTGTTCCAGCATGGCGGTCCCTGGAACATTTTTTGGTTGTAGGATTAAGCAGCTTCCTGCACATCTTTGGTCTATTCATCGACATCTTTCTGCCCCCCTTCCCCTTCCCCTTCCCCTCCCCTTNCCGTGGCGGTCATTGGAACAGTTGAGTTGGTCTATTCATCAACATCTTTCTGCTCCCCCCTCCCCTCCCTGTCTCCACTGTTAACTCAGTGTGATGGGTGCCTGGAAGACTGTGTTGGGGCTCATGACTGGGTTGCGGATATTGCCGGCCATGGGAGCATTATACTGTCTAGGGGCCGGTAGGTCACAGTGGAGGCCCCTGGATATCCCAGGCACCCATCTTCCATACAGCATGATGCAGTTGTTAATAATATAAACACAGCAGTAACATTTCTGCTAAAATTCAGTTGGTCACAAGAAAATGTGGCAAGGTCCACCATTTCAACTCTTGCCTAGCTTGTATGAAAACAGGGAATAATGCTCAAAATGCTCATTTCTTTAATATAACGCAAAACATACTCGTGAAAGGGAGTTCTATGTATTAAAGTAATAATTAATAATCAGTTATCATGCAGCGTATTCTTACACATGAGTCTCCCCAGATTTCCCAACACCTGAATAATTCCAAAAACAAGACACTACTTCTATCTGAAATAGCTCTTTATCATCTGTTTAAAGGGATTTTTTTGGTTTGCTCCATTTCAGGCCTCGTTTGTTTAATTTCTTTGGACTAACTAAACTGCACAGACCAGAGGTTTCTCAAGCATGCATTTCAGACTGTACACTACATTGTAAATAAACTAAATAAAACAGTCTCAATTGCTTTATGACAAGGTCTGAGAAACTCCTGCTCTGTCTCAATACTGATTCTGCTCCTGCTGTACCTAAGTTATTTAAATCAGACGTTGGCAAAATTCCAGCAGCGTCATGTAGACCATTCCAAACTGCGATACGGCAAGCTAAAAATTCAGAAGTAGACATGCATACCTCCCCTAACAGGAACACTCCTTTAGGGAGGAGAAATGTTTTGTAGAATGTTGCTTTTATTTTGGTCTTTATCAACTTTTCATTCAATATATCTGACAATCAAACACCACATCTACATGTGCAAACAAGACGCTTGATATTTGCACTTGCTTTTCAGAAGTCAGTCAAGTTTTCAAAACAAAATTTACTCTAGTAGAGACCTGTATTGTACTGATATTTACCTGCCATATAGTCCATCACCATATATAAATTTTTAGCATCTTGGAAAGCAAAGTGTAACTGTGAAAAATAAACAGAGTTTGTAAATAAGTCTATTATTAAGTGTATTTTTCAGACCGTAAAAAGAAATCCTAGTTACCCTTTCTACTTTGCCTCGAGATAATTATAAAAATAACATTGGAATTTTAATCAGTCATTTCCCTTAAAAGAGTCCAGTTTCTTGAAAATGTAGATGAGCTTTTTAAATCATTCTGCTTGTAGCAACCTGCCATTATTAACTTGTCATTTACAAGTTGTTATCATTGATCTTTTCTGTCCTATTGAAGTAATAAATGTGGTTTTTCCTGGTTGCTATTCTATTATACCCTCAGAAAGTTGGATGTCCTTAGATGAGGTTTCCATTTACCATGATGTCAGCTCTTGAATAAGATCAAATTCAAAATCGCCAGGCACATGAACGAAACAGGCAAACAGATGACTTTAACTGATTACCTTGACGATCCAAGGACTGGTAGTATGAGCCATAATTTCACGCTCCTCCCAAAAGAATGCAGAATCAGATCTCTTGATCTATGTAATGAGTAAGAGTGGCAATTAATTAAAATAATTAATATATATCACCTCATATTACAGACATCCAAGTTATAAGGACAAGACAGGACAGGCCTGTTTGTCCCAAGCTTACAGAAAATTAAACCTGCTATATGGACATCTTGGCAATACAGACAGTGGGATAACAGTGGGATAACAGAATGGTGGATCGCAGAACAAGCAGTCAAGGTTCTAGCAGTTGCCAGGGTAACCATGTCGGACACTTTTCTCAAGTTTCAATTGAGTACAATTTTATCCAGAGATAACTTAAACAAATAAAGGTTTAATTATTATGATCCACAGAATTTCTCCATAATGGTATAATGGCTGAAAAATACTTCATCTAAAATAAACATTCAAATAAAATGTGTCCAAAATGCTGGGGTGCGAACATACTTTTCACCTGCTATTGAAGGAATCACTTGACATGGAATGCAATTATGAAGTGAAATGTACAAAATAGTCAAAGAAGAAAAGAAGTTAATTTTGTGTGCAGAACAACTAAATGTCATAGTTCCAGTAGTATTTTATGACACATTGCCTAATGTGCAACTTGCAATGACAATATTTGGTGGACTGAGACTGCAGTTGCATTGAAACCGTCCAGTTAATATTGTGTTAGAAAACAGTCACTTTTGCTTCTACTACTGAAAACTTTATACTAATGATCCTTGAGAATTACAATTAAAAAATGATTGATTTGCAGTGTAGAACACATGTTGGGTGTCTGACAAAACATTTTTGCAAAGTACTAATACACTTAGTGAGTTGATCTCGTATTTTAATTTCCATTCCACCCCCCTCCAAACTGTATCCCTTTAGCAATGCAAAAACTATTGCAAAGGGATGTAAATCCAGTTAATAACACTACAATTGTAGGGAAAATACAAGCACATTAAAGGCTTTATTTTGCAGGTAGGTGAACACAAAACCAACAGTAAATAAGCATAAATCAACATTCTCAATTTATCCCAGGTATTTAAAGAATTGAAACCAGGGGCGACTTTTTCGCTAATTTGTTTACAACGTAATACTCGTACATTACAAATCTAGGGTCGGTATTAGAAGCATGTCTCTAGAACTCGACATCTAAGCTTCACCAGTTCAAAGCATTATTATTTAACTAAATCCTGATCGTAAACACAACAACCATATGGGAAAGTGTACATTCTTGTACAGGCGAATCAAGTCCAACGCGAAAGTCACATTAATTAACGGCTTGTTCAGAAAGCCACTGCTTTTAAAAGGAGCAGATGACCTCAAAGGAAAGGGCATCCTTTGAGGATCTAACTCTAAAACACAAGGAAAGTGTTCACGGCAACTGCAGTAATTTAAAATTTACACAAATTCAAGTTCTTATGGACGATCTTAAAATCAAAATCCGTGCCAGTTGCAGAACTAGCTTTGTAGCTACAACGACATAAAGGAATCTAAGTTAAGTTGTCTCTAAATTTTTAAGAAAGTGAGACGTAATTTCAACGCTTAAAGCTTTTACAGCGAAACAACGGTTTGTTGTTTTTTACCCTTTGACTAAAACAGCTAAACTTTAATAGCTCCATAACCACGCAGAAGCTATTTAACTCTAACATGGTTTCTTCAGAGTTGTCCAACTTACCATCTCAAATTTGCTCAGAAGCTTCATAGCATATACTTTTTTCGATGCTTTGTGCCTCACCTGAATAGGAAAAAAAATCGAACAGTTTTCTTTCTTTTTTTTCAACAAGCGAAACAGCTCGAATGATGAGGCTCGCATAGCATCGTATCGTCAATAAAATATCCGCATCTCTCAGTTGCTTTGCTGATTCATCTGCTGTCGTATTGGGAGAGGAAATTACTTTTATCGAGAGGCCGAACGTACAAATTTACTTTGTTATGAGAACACTAAGAAATTAATACAATACTAATGGGAAGATTTGCTCTCGAGGATATTATTTACCGTCCATAAAGGTAAAAGTATAAAACGAGTTACTGACCAACTGAACTTCGCCAAATGCACCGCGTCCGATGACTTTTACGATCTGAAAGTCTTTGGCATTCATACGACACTCTTCTATTACTTTACATGGCTTCTCATCTGAAAAGCAATTAAACCTATCTTAGTATATGCCTCTTAAGAACCGTTAAAAGCAAATATTAAGCTTACATCTTTGTAAGAAGTTTTCGACGTTCTTGTTTCGTCTGAGGGCTGGAAAGTCACAATCACACACCAACGACTGGATGCCATCCTAACAAAACAGAACAAGATAAACCTTGAGTTGCCTGACAGTGAGGCAGTTAAATAAAGCATCATTTAACTCACCAAAAGCCCCTCAATGTATAATTCGTTTCGAGGATTTCGGACGTAACCCTCGAGATTTTCCCTCCTCTTTCGCTCCTCCATGTTGCCCGCAGCTCAAGCTCTTCACAATTCCAACACAAAACTATCCGCCAGGGGCAAAAATCATTCCTTCTCCAACCAAAGACATTTAAATGGAGGCAATCGACCTCAAAACGGTAAATTCCAAGATTGTTTCACCAGACGAACTTCTCAAACCGTACCACTGTTGACATTACTTTCAAACATGGCTGAAGTTCGAAATGGTGGAAACTGAATAATAGGGGTGTTTAGTCACGTGACCGCAGAGGGCCGACCTTCCCGCAGCTCGCAACATGGCGATTATGACCTTTAGTTCCTTTTTCGAACGTGATTCTTTATTTTGTTATCCGTATTCTCCCAATATATCACTTTAATCTCCTCTCCTATGCGTAGTTTATTTAGTATTCTTGAGTGTCACAGTACTTCCCTTCCGACTTGATCTTACGTCACTTCTTTTCCTATCGACCTTATCAAGTATAGAAGGAAGCCTTTGTTATCCGTTACCGACTTTAGCAAGGAGATTTTGGTTTAATAAATCTGTAGGTGAAACTAATCTTGAAAATGCTTTAGCGCATGAAAATTCATATCTTTCGAATAAGGAAAAAAAGGTAAAAGTTCTAGAGTTTGTTTAACTGGTTCTGTTTGTTCCATACATGTAACGGTACAAGTGAGTCCATGGTTCATGAAAACGTCCACGACACCCTTATAAAAACATAAATAATTTATCATTTCAACTCATATTGATCTAATTTGCTACGGCTACTTTATTCGAGTTATTTCGAATTCGAAAGTGCCAAAATTTGAAAGTGCACTTTCGAAAGCTTTAAAGACCGTGCAGAAATTCCCTGTTTCTAGGAAATGAGTTTAGTTACTAAGTTCTGATAAAGTGACGCCCTTTCTTGCTTTGCGTTTCAGACCGTTATAATTATCTTCGCGCTGAAAACACGATATGTCTCGGGCAAAAAAACTCTAGAAGCATTCACTCGAAAGTTATATGTTGCCCTGGTTTTTAAGTAGCTGATAAGCTGCTATCTGTTTTGCGGTTNGCCATGGGAGCATTATACTGTCTAGGGGCCGGTAGGTCACAGTGGAGGCCCCTGGATATCCCAGGCACCCATCTTCCATACAGCATGATGCAGTTGTTAATAATATAAACACAGCAGTAACATTTCTGCTAAAATTCAGTTGGTCACAAGAAAATGTGGCAAGGTCCACCATTTCAACTCTTGCCTAGCTTGTATGAAAACAGGGAATAATGCTCAAAATGCTCATTTCTTTAATATAACGCAAAATATACTCGTGAAAGGGAGTTCTATGTATTAAAGTAATAATTAATAATCAGTTATCATGCAGCGTATTCTTACACACGAGTCTCCCCAGATTTCCCAACACCTGAATAATTCCAAAAACAAGACACTACTTCTATCTGAAATAGCTCTTTATCATCTGTTTAAAGGGATTTTTTTGGTTTGCTCCATTTCAGGCCTCGTTTGTTTAATTTCTTTGGACTAACTAAACTGCACAGACCAGAGGTTTCTCAAGCATGCATTTCAGACTGTACACTACATTGTAAATAAACTAAATAAAACAGTCTCAATTGCTTTATGACAAGGTCTGAGAAACTCCTGCTCTGTCTCAATACTGATTCTGCTCCTGCTGTACCTAAGTTATTTAAATCAGACGTTGGCAAAATTCCAGCAGCGTCATGTAGACCATTCCAAACTGCGATACGGCAAGCTAAAAATTCAGAAGTAGACATGCATACCTCCCCTAACAGGAACACTCCTTTAGGGAGGAGAAATGTTTTGTAGAATGTTGCTTTTATTTTGGTCTTTATCAACTTTTCATTCAATATATCTGACAATCAAACACCACATCTACATGTGCAAACAAGACGCTTGATATTTGCACTTGCTTTTCAGAAGTCAGTCAAGTTTTCAAAACAAAATTTACTCTAGTAGAGACCTGTATTGTACTGATATTTACCTGCCATATAGTCCATCACCATATATAAATTTTTAGCATCTTGGAAAGCAAAGTGTAACTGTGAAAAATAAACAGAGTTTGTAAATAAGTCTATTATTAAGTGTATTTTTCAGACCGTAAAAAGAAATCCTAGTTACCCTTTCTACTTTGCCTCGAGATAATTATAAAAATAACATTGGAATTTTAATCAGTCATTTCCCTTAAAAGAGTCCAGTTTCTTGAAAATGTAGATGAGCTTTTTAAATCATTCTGCTTGTAGCAACCTGCCATTATTAACTTGTCATTTACAAGTTGTTATCATTGATCTTTTCTGTCCTATTGAAGTAATAAATGTGGTTTTTCCTGGTTGCTATTCTATTATACCCTCAGAAAGTTGGATGTCCTTAGATGAGGTTTCCATTTACCATGATGTCAGCTCTTGAATAAGATCAAATTCAAAATCGCCAGGCACATGAACGAAACAGGCAAACAGATGACTTTAACTGATTACCTTGACGATCCAAGGACTGGTAGTATGAGCCATAATTTCACGCTCCTCCCAAAAGAATGCAGAATCAGATCTCTTGATCTATGTAATGAGTAAGAGTGGCAATTAATTAAAATAATTAATATATATCACCTCATATTACAGACATCCAAGTTATAAGGACAAGACAGGACAGGCCTGTTTGTCCCAAGCTTACAGAAAATTAAACCTGCTATATGGACATCTTGGCAATACAGACAGTGGGATAACAGTGGGATAACAGAATGGTGGATCGCAGAACAAGCAGTCAAGGTTCTAGCAGTTGCCAGGGTAACCATGTCGGACACTTTTCTCAAGTTTCAATTGAGTACAATTTTATCCAGAGATAACTTAAACAAATAAAGGTTTAATTATTATGATCCACAGAATTTCTCCATAATGGTATAATGGCTGAAAAATACTTCATCTAAAATAAACATTCAAATAAAATGTGTCCAAAATGCTGGGGTGCGAACATACTTTTCACCTGCTATTGAAGGAATCACTTGACATGGAATGCAATTATGAAGTGAAATGTACAAAATAGTCAAAGAAGAAAAGAAGTTAATTTTGTGTGCAGAACAACTAAATGTCATAGTTCCAGTAGTATTTTATGACACATTGCCTAATGTGCAACTTGCAATGACAATATTTGGTGGACTGAGACTGCAGTTGCATTGAAACCGTCCAGTTAATATTGTGTTAGAAAACAGTCACTTTTGCTTCTACTACTGAAAACTTTATACTAATGATCCTTGAGAATTACAATTAAAAAATGATTGATTTGCAGTGTAGAACACATGTTGGGTGTCTGACAAAACATTTTTGCAAAGTACTAATACACTTAGTGAGTTGATCTCGTATTTTAATTTCCATTCCACCCCCCTCCAAACTGTATCCCTTTAGCAATGCAAAAACTATTGCAAAGGGATGTAAATCCAGTTAATAACACTACAATTGTAGGGAAAATACAAGCACATTAAAGGCTTTATTTTGCAGGTAGGTGAACACAAAACCAACAGTAAATAAGCATAAATCAACATTCTCAATTTATCCCAGGTATTTAAAGAATTGAAACCAGGGGCGACTTTTTCGCTAATTTGTTTACAACGTAATACTCGTACATTACAAATCTAGGGTCGGTATTAGAAGCATGTCTCTAGAACTCGACATCTAAGCTTCACCAGTTCAAAGCATTATAATTAAACTAAATCCTGATCGTAAACACAACAACCATATGGGAAAGTGTACATTCTTGTACAGGCGAATCAAGTCCAACGCGAAAGTCACATTAATTAACGGCTTGTTCAGAAAGCCACTGCTTTTAAAAGGAGCAGATGACCTCAAAGGAAAGGGCATCCTTTGAGGATCTAACTCTAAAACACAAGGAAAGTGTTCACGGCAACTGCAGTAATTTAAAATTTACACAAATTCAAGTTCTTATGGACGATCTTAAAATCAAAATCCGTGCCAGTTGCAGAACTAGCTTTGTAGCTACAACGACATAAAGGAATCTAAGTTAAGTTGTCTCTAAATTTTTAAGAAAGTGAGACGTAATTTCAACGCTTAAAGCTTTTACAGCGAAACAACGGTTTGTTGTTTTTTACCCTTTGACTAAAACAGCTAAACTTTAATAGCTCCATAACCACGCAGAAGCTATTTAACTCTAACATGGTTTCTTCAGAGTTGTCCAACTTACCATCTCAAATTTGCTCAGAAGCTTCATAGCATATACTTTTTTCGATGCTTTGTGCCTCACCTGAATAGGAAAAAAAATCGAACAGTTTTCTTTCTTTTTTTTCAACAAGCGAAACAGCTCGAATGATGAGGCTCGCATAGCATCGTATCGTCAATAAAATATCCGCATCTCTCAGTTGCTTTGCTGATTCATCTGCTGTCGTATTGGGAGAGGAAATTACTTTTATCGAGAGGCCGAACGTACAAATTTACTTTGTTATGAGAACACTAAGAAATTAATACAATACTAATGGGAAGATTTGCTCTCGAGGATATTATTTACCGTCCATAAAGGTAAAAGTATAAAACGAGTTACTGACCAACTGAACTTCGCCAAATGCACCGCGTCCGATGACTTTTACGATCTGAAAGTCTTTGGCATTCATACGACACTCTTCTATTACTTTACATGGCTTCTCATCTGAAAAGCAATTAAACCTATCTTAGTATATGCCTCTTAAGAACCGTTAAAAGCAAATATTAAGCTTACATCTTTGTAAGAAGTTTTCGACGTTCTTGTTTCGTCTGAGGGCTGGAAAGTCACAATCACACACCAACGACTGGATGCCATCCTAACAAAACAGAACAAGATAAACCTTGAGTTGCCTGACAGTGAGGCAGTTAAATAAAGCATCATTTAACTCACCAAAAGCCCCTCAATGTATAATTCGTTTCGAGGATTTCGGACGTAACCCTCGAGATTTTCCCTCCTCTTTCGCTCCTCCATGTTGCCCGCAGCTCAAGCTCTTCACAATTCCAACACAAAACTATCCGCCAGGGGCAAAAATCATTCCTTCTCCAACCAAAGACATTTAAATGGAGGCAATCGACCTCAAAACGGTAAATTCCAAGATTGTTTCACCAGACGAACTTCTCAAACCGTACCACTGTTGACATTACTTTCAAACATGGCTGAAGTTCGAAATGGTGGAAACTGAATAATAGGGGTGTTTAGTCACGTGACCGCAGAGGGCCGACCTTCCCGCAGCTCGCAACATGGCGATTATGACCTTTAGTTCCTTTTTCGAACGTGATTCTTTATTTTGTTATCCGTATTCTCCCAATATATCACTTTAATCTCCTCTCCTATGCGTAGTTTATTTAGTATTCTTGAGTGTCACAGTACTTCCCTTCCGACTTGATCTTACGTCACTTCTTTTCCTATCGACCTTATCAAGTATAGAAGGAAGCCTTTGTTATCCGTTACCGACTTTAGCAAGGAGATTTTGGTTTAATAAATCTGTAGGTGAAACTAATCTTGAAAATGCTTTAGCGCATGAAAATTCATATCTTTCGAATAAGGAAAAAAAGGTAAAAGTTCTAGAGTTTGTTTAACTGGTTCTGTTTGTTCCATACATGTAACGGTACAAGTGAGTCCATGGTTCATGAAAACGTCCACGACACCCTTATAAAAACATAAATAATTTATCATTTCAACTCATATTGATCTAATTTGCTACGGCTACTTTATTCGAGTTATTTCGAATTCGAAAGTACCAAAATTTGAAAGTGCACTTTCGAAAGCTTTAAAGACCGTGCAGAAATTCCCTGTTTCTAGGAAATGAGTTTAGTTACTAAGTTCTGATAAAGTGACGCCCTTTCTTGCTTTGCGTTTCAGACCGTTATAATTATCTTCGCGCTGAAAACACGATATGTCTCGGGCAAAAAAACTCTAGAAGCATTCACTCGAAAGTTATATGTTGCCCTGGTTTTTAAGTAGCTGATAAGCTGCTATCTGTTTTGCGGTTTGACTTCTTTAGCGGTCCTATTGAATATATTGCGTTCGAAGCCTTTCTCAGACTAAGTGTGAGTATATTTAGTAATGACTTCATCATTGTGTTTAAAATACTGTCGTAAAGTCATGTCGCCAGAAACCGTTGAATCATTAACAAAAGAAATTGCTATTTATGTCCGCACAAAAAAATTTACGTAAATCAAGTTCTGACAAATCACTTCACTTAATCCTATATTCCAAGCCCCCAGGGAGAAACGAGCGCCTTGAGAGAGCGGCAAGACGGCTATTTGTATGGAGGTTGAAATGAGCTGGGATACACATGCTCAGAACGCCGCCATTTTCTACGTGACACTGCGTGCAAATATTTCTCGCATTTAATAGTGTTTTATTTAAGTCTTTAAGGATTTGTTTTGTACATTTATATTCAAATAACGTTTTCTTATTCATTTTGACTTGAAAATGACGTTGAGTAAACGTCGAAACGTCGCCGCTTTTTAGAGTTTTTTACAGTTTTTAGAGCTTTTTAACCGTGATGGTTTTAACTTTTGTCTTATCGCAATGTTTTATTGTTAAATTATTGACAAAGCCTATTCTTTTACGTAAAAATTCTTAAGTTCATTTCCATAAAATTTATTATATTGCATTCTATTCATCACGCTATATTTTAGACTTTTTAGTCCCTCTTTTATTATTTCAACTGTTGAAGACTTCAGTTAAGGAACTCGAAACCTTGTGTTTTTATCTTATTTTTAGCCAAAGGAATTTTTTGAAATCTTACTATGATTCATCATGGCTGCGGTCCTTCGATATTTAAATGAAAAACTGGTTATTTGTTCTTACTTACTCTCTCGCTTACTTACTTTACTCTGTTTCTAATTAATTAAGACGGCACTTCACTGCTGGACACCGGAGCAGTAGGCGCAAGGGGGGGTGGGGGGAAACCCAAAATTACATGTCGAAGCACTATCGAGACAGAGCTTCGGCCACAGCTGGAGCTCCATTCAAAAGCTGGCCGGGGACAGACAGCTGTGGAGATTCTACAGTAGCTGCTGCCCCGTGTGCCAGTGGCCATGGCGGGCAGCGAGTGCATTTTGTGAGTGACTCGCTAGAGTCAAGTGACAAATATTTTACGCGAGAACTACGCCATCTATAGTAAGCAGTTGACAGTAAATTTATTTGTAATTCAAGCTATACTGTAATTTTTATAAAATGCTGGTTATAAGCCTTCTCCTGACTAAGCCCCCACGATATGCGCACTGTCCTGAAGACTTGAAAACATAAGTTTCTGAGGGGAGAGCAGATCAGTTGAAAACTTTGATCAGAGTGCATTTCTTGCAACTGATGCCTTCACTAGAGTCTTTTCTTGAGTAGTAAAATCACTCCGTGTCCATATAAAGACTACATTATGTTCTGATACCGGTTTCTAGAGGAGCCTAGGGCGGTTTTCAACTGGGTTTCCGGCGAAAGTGATCGGGCAGTTAATATGGTTTTGGTTTTGATTTTACTATGGTTTGAGATTGGCTGAGTATGGTCTAATCGATAAAAGTGCCGTTTTTGGTAAGTAATTCAGGAATTTGGTTTTGTTTTACGATACTCAATTGAAAACTGCTTCATTCAATTGATTACTCGATTATTAACTGCCCACATTTACTTCAAATCACCGTACAAAAGGAAATGGCTAAATTTTTTTTTTAAAAAAGACCTTTATCTTAGAAATTTACAACGCATAAAAACTGACGTGAGTGGTTTGAACGTTTTCCCCCGATTAGGAATTATCGATATCAGTTAATATGACACCAATATTGTTCTTGTGCTCAGTTACAAGTATCTAGAATTAACTAATTAAAGGGATTTCGCAGACAAGATACTTGTTATTTCCTGTTTAGGTAATGCGGCTAAATTCAGCCGTTTCCTCGTTTTTGCGAAACCAGCCAAACTTGGACAGGATTCAAACGGCACAAGGTGACCGTATTTCGTGTATCGACAAAAAAAGCCTTCAATCTCTGAAATCTAAGACAAGAGTTTCTCTCTTTGAGCACCTTCAGCTACGTCTGTAGAGTTCCCGAATGACACTGAATGTGATGTATTCGTGTAGCGCAAATAGCAGCAGAAATGCTAATGTCGTTAATTAGCGCCGCCCTCAAACAAGCACTTATCCCTTAATAATGACGCATTGCTTATTGAAAACAATTTTTAAAACCGGCTCTTGAGTGGCACTTCAGTCTAATAGGCTTACCTCCCTACGCATCTACTAGCTTCTACTTGATCAAGTAGTGAAATATTCATATAGTTCCACTGAGCTCCACGGGTTTCCATTAATTTTGCTTGCATTCTAACTCTCTGATTCACCTTCTGACGGACTGTTGTGACAGTCCTGAAGATTTTAAGGCAAAAGTTCTACGTTTCCTATTTTCTAGAACTGGGTTCAAGAAAAATGGAAGTGAAAAGCGAAACCATTAGTTAGTTTTAATCTTGTAAAACGATTACGTCAAAGACAATACAACAACGTGTAAGGTTCTCAAAATAGTTCCTCGTTACTACTGACGTCAAGGAGTTTGCTGTACCAGGCCAGTGGAAGAAAATAAAGGAAATTAATAACCAAACTTTGCTCATCATTACCAGCTATCAAGCAAAATTGACAGATTTCAGGACTTTCAGACTTTCAGTTCAGAACACAGACTTCTACTGTAATATGGTAGAGCTGAAAGGTACTTTAGTACTAATAGTACTGTTGTATCTCTCAAGACTGGGCTATGATCAAATGTATACAGTCAAGAGATTATGATACACAGTATTTTCCTTCATCATCAAGCATTCTCATTTTCTGATTTTCTTGTTGCCCTATCCCTTGTGCTAGATAACATCCGCTGTCGGCTCTCGCCCATTCCTCATTCCCAGGTAATTGTGCGGGTGAGGTACGCTTCCCGTGTTTTTATCTCCTGTCTCCCTTCCTTTTTAGTCCTGCTCCCGTCCCATGTCAATTCGGAGACTCAAAACACACCGTTAAAGGGCGTACAATTCACCGGAAGTAAGCCTGTTTCGAATTTTCATTTGCTCGTTGGCTCAGAAGTCTCAGAAGACGCTGAACGCAAATCAACTGACATTTCGGGTTCTTGTTTTTGAAAGTATTCTAACGCATTATAAATGACAAAAATTAGTGTTTTATATTTCTCTCCCGCTTTCCGCCCTCTTAGATCTCCCTCTTCCGATCTCTTCCTGGTCCCGCCCTTTGCCCTCCCACCTACCGTACCTTTCTCCCGGGCCCCTTCCCCGTGTCCCTCCTCCAAGTAAGTAGGGTTTCCAAGCGGGGGTCTGACGAGAGTTCACATTGCATTTTGAGCCCGCGATCAAGCAGCGGATTCCTTTTCGTCGCCATTTTGGATTCGAGGAGAAAACCGTCAAGAAAACAGTTTGGCCAAACAATCCAAGATGTAACCGTATTCGATCGCATGATTTACATTATTTCAACGAAATGGGTCAAGGAAGCTCTAAGGAACGCTACAAAAGTGCTGTGAAGAAACTTAGTAGCATAGAATTGGCAAATATTGAAGCAGTGTTCAACGAGGTTTCCACGAAGAGAGAGGATGGTTCGAGGCATGTTGAACTGTCTCTGATCAATCGACAAGATTTTGCTGAACGATTCCGGCTTCCAGGCTTTATTGCTGAACGCCTGTTTCTTGCTTTCGACAGAAATGAGGTATCTCACACTTTGGAAAATTTTTTAGAGATAAATTTGTGTTCAGTTATATCATCTGTGGAGACACTTCACGAGTAAACCGAAGCTTACCAATTGTGCCGACAGAAGCTTATTGAACTAATGCGTAGTACCAGAAAATAGCAATACCTCCCCAAATGGAAGGGATTTTTTCTAAAACCCCACCCCCACCCACCCCTCTGAAAATTCCGATTAAGCTTCATACATTTCATTACATTTTTTGGGTCTCATAGTACCCCCTACCCCCAGAAAATTCTGATCCCTTATGTAGGGAGAGTGTGGATATTTTCTGGAACTGCATAATATGTTCATACCATACTTCATACATTGTGCCCATTGTTTGAAGGGTAGTGTATTTACCATTAACTCTGGAACGAGTGGTTTAGATCTCAGGATATTTCTTTCAGATTTAGTGTAATGTGGGGGAGCACTCATCTGAGGACGGCAGTCATTCAAAGGAGGGCTCATATAAGGGGAGGGTGGTAAGGGAAAAAGGGGAAGGTTATTAATTTTTTCCCAAATTAAGTGTTGGTCGTACCAACATCTCCACACCTGAGGACATCTCCTGGTCCTAGGAAAATATCATTATATAACAGCCAGTCATCAAGCATGCTTCCCTGTGTGTGTGTGTGTGTGTGGAG